GTAACCCGTAAGGTAAATGGTTGTTTGGTTTAATCTTTTGGCATGTATCACATTGCTCTATAAATTTTTGGACATCTCTTCTAACATTTTTCCATGTGTAAAAGGTGCAAAGCCGAGATAAGGTCCTATGGATTCCGGCATGTCCCCCTACTGGAGTGCAGTGGAATTCAACCAAGAGTTTAGGGATCAAGGTAGAGTTCGCCGGCAAGAACATACGCCCTTTGTGTAGTAATAGCCCCTTTTGAAATTTCCAGTTAGGTAGTTTATTATTGGATGACTGTAATTCTTGTATAATCGTAGAGGCATAGGGGTTCTGCTGTAATTCAGACTGTAACAGTGAAGAATAACTGGACTGTGGCGCGGTGAGGATAGTGAGATGAGCTATGGGGGACCCAACATCCCCTTGGAGTGTGCGTGAGAGGCCATCGACAACAACATTTTGATTTACCGGATTTGAAAGTAATAACGTAGTTGTATCCTAACAATTTAGCTAAAAAATGTTGTTGCTCTGGTGTCTGAATAACTTGGGAGATCAGATTATGCAAGCTCTTATGGTCCGTTCGAATAATGAATTGGGACCCCAAGAGATATTGGCACCACTTGGCCACTGCTGAGGTAATGGCGAACATCTCACGAATGTAAGTAGACTGAAGTTGCATGCGCTGGGAGAGTTTGCTGCTGAAATAAGAAATTGCACGACCTTCCTGTAATAGTACTGCTCCAATGCCAGTACCAGAGGCATCTGTCTCAATAACAAATGGTAAATTAAAATTTGGGAGAACAAGAATGGGGGCCTCAAGAAGTTTTTGTTTTAGGCATTGAAAGGCTTCAGCGGCTGCTGTTGTCCATTGAAATTTCCCTTTTGAGAGCAAATCAGTGAGATGGGAAGTAATCTTGGCATAATGGTGAATAAACCGTCTGTAATAACCTGATAAACCTAGGAAAGCACGCACCTGTTTAGTAGTAGTAGGTGTAGGCCAGTCCTGAACAGCTTGTAACTTTTCTGGGTCAGGAGCTACTCCATTTACAGATACAATATGTCCCAAAAAGTGAACTGAGTCTGTTGCAAAGGAACATTTGGAGAGCTTTGCAAATAAATGATGATGGCGAAGGGTATCCAGAACCTATTGTAGGTGAGCAATGTGATCAGTCAAGGTAGGACTGTAAACCAAGATGTCATCAAAGAAAATAACCACAAAACGTCTGAGGAATGCTACAAACACGTCAATCATTGTAGCCTGAAAAGAAGATGGTGCATTAGATAATCCAAAAGGCATAACAAGGAATTCAAAATGTCCATGATGAGTCCTGAAAGCAATTTTGTGGACATCATCTGGATGCATTCTGATTTGGTGGTACTCAGAACGGAGATCCAACTTTGAGAAAATGCGAGCGCCGTGTAATTCATCCAACAATTCATCCACAGTGGGAATTGGAAAGCGATCCTTAATAGTAATGGAGTTTAGAGCGCGATAGTCCACACAAAATCGCCAAGTTCTATCCCTTTTCTTTACTAGTAAAACTGGAGAGCTAAATGGGGAACGACTTGGACGAATAACTCCGGATTCTAACATCTCCTTACACAATTTTTCAATTTCATCCTTTTGAAAGTGGGGGTAACGGTATGGTCGCACTTGGATAGGTTTAGAATTTGGTAGAAGATTAATGTGATGATTATGGGTGCGATCAGGTGGTAATGTGGAGGGTGGGGAGAAAATATTGTGGTATTGGTGAAGTAAGGATTGTATTTGTGATATAGGATGTATTGGAGGGGTTGTATGGGTAACAGTAGGATGTGGAGATGTTGCGCTGGTAGCAAAACACATAAGGCAGGATGAATAGTGTCAAGGGACATTAGTTTACCAAGCGTAGAGGAGGAAATTGCTTGTGGCAGATTGGGAACATCTCCTTGCAATTGAACAGAATCACCATGATGGTTGAAAGTCATTACTAATTGTGCATAATCTGTTACAATAGGGCCTAGGGTAGCCAACCACTGTACACTGAGGACCACATCATCACCTTTCATGTCAAGGACAAATAAGTCCAAGTTGAAGGTATGTGTTTGAAGTACTAGTGGGGCGTTTTTACACATTGCAGTGCATGAAAGACCATCCCCATTGCCAACTTGTACATTAAATGGGTTAATAGAGTGTAAAATAAGACCTGCATGAGAAGCCATTCGCTCTGTGATAAAATTATTTGTACTGCCACCATTAATCAATACTTGCACCTGTTTGCCTCGGATGCTCCCTGTTAATCAATACTGCCACCATTTCCAAATAAGGCATGAAGGCTAATTTCCGAAAAGGGTTCGGTGATAGGGGTATTGCTGGGCTCTAACTGATCCAATGGTGTAGAATTAGAATCTGTAGGTGGATTGTCCTCATCAGTGCCCTCGAAGTACAATAAAGTAGCTTTCCATTGACATTTGTGCCCAAACACGTAGCATTCATCACAATTATAACACAATCTTTTTTCCCTCTTTGCCTGAATTTGTTCAGCAGTAAGTCTTTTGATATGGAGTGTTGAGTTGTGTGTCGTTGATTTAGATAATGGTATGATTTGATTATGAGTGGTATTAGAAAAGGATGGTTGGTTGGAGGGTTGTTTGGAGGTCAATGGTCTGGATTTTGTGAAAGTGTGTGTGTCAGCAAAATGATCTTCATACACCTTTGCTAATGAAAAGGATGAATGAACATCTCTAGGACGCTGTGTTTGTATTGCTCGACGGATATGGGGTTTAAGTCCAGCAATAAACAGGGCACGACGCATTGTGGGAGAGAGACCCGGAACACAGCTGGCCATAGCTTCAAACGATGATTGAAAGGAACTAACAAAACCGTGTTGTTGCAAGTTGGCAAGTGCAACAACTGGATCATCAAATTCGGAGGGTCCAAATCGTTGTCCTAAGGCAGTGACAAATGTGGGCCAATTGGGTAAAAGCCGATCGTTGAATAACCCTTGAAACCAACTTGATGCAGGTTTATCCAAATTGAAGGAGGCCAGCAGCAAACGCTCTTGTTCTGGAATTTGGTAATACTCAAAGTAGCGGTTAGCATTAAACACCCAATTTGATGGATCCCCATCAGCAAAGCGCGGAAAGTTTACTTTGTGTGGTTTATTGTGTCCGTGGTCATGTGAATGCAAACCTGTACGGTTAGGGCCAAACCCTAATATACCAGCGTTGGAATGATTGGAGAGTGGGGATCTTTGTGATTCCAACAATCGAGAGATATTTTGGTTTAAAAGCGCAAATTGACGTTCTTGGGATTCATGTAACTGAGTGTGAGATTCTTGTAACCCCAAAAATTGTTGTTCGCGAACAAGTTCTGCAGCCTGCAATTGTTGTTCGAGAGCCTCTACACGTTGCGATAAATCTTGGAAACGCGTATTTTCTGCCATGGCAGGAATGAGTTCATATGAAAGCACCAATGAAGGGAGCAATTATGAGAGATAGAACGTTGAAGGTGATTAGAAAGAGAGAGAGAGAAAAGAATAAGAGAGACAAAATTTGGGGATCAAATAATCATGTTTATTCAATCCATTTTCTGGAATTTATAGAAAATAAAAACGTCCTGCACTTCTACTAAAAGTAAAATTCCTAACTTATCCTATTCTACTTTATTTGTTCGTAAAGATAAAAACTAGATAACTCAGACTAATAAAGATAAGCAAGTCTAACTATCTTTTGAATTTAAAATACTTTGCTAAACTAACTATCTACTAATGGGTTTCACTACATGTAGTCCACCAAATACTTGGGCTTCTGAACGCGCCTTTTTGGTCTGCTATTAATTAAGTCTCCTACAAGAAGCGTCACGTCGCAGGGATGTTTAGGGAAAATTAAAATTAAAATTTTCTTATTCTATCCTACTCCTTCCTAACCCAAGCCCCCCTTAGGATAAGTAATTAGTCTTTGGGCAGGATAAAAAAAAATCAACCTGACAAGTATATCTTATCCGCTTGGCATACTAAACAATTGATAAATGTAGGATACGATAATTTATCCTATCCTATTCTTCTTATCAGGTGCACCAAACAGACTTAGAATAAAAATAGAACATGTTATCAAACACATTGTTTTTCTCCTGAGAAATTGTCTCAGGGCACAGAAATAGAAAAGAATTATTTCTTTTCAAAAATAATATTAGAGAATAAAATGATTGTCATGCATATCCTAAGTCTAAGTTAAATAGAGCGGGAATTTGTTCCCTAAAATTGGTTTTGGCGTAATTGGTTATGAACTATAGTAGTAGGGAACAGATAACACCTAGTATTTTAACACTGTAAAGAACCTTGAGATACACCACCCCAAAAGCTAGCTCAAAGGGTGGGAGTGCTCAAGACCTTATAAACTCCACATTAGTTGCACATACAACCAATGTGGGACTATATATCTCAACACGCCCCCTCACACGAGAGCCCACTGGGCTCTTGAAGAGTGGACAATGCAACAGGCCTAGCCTACCTGTGCTAAGAAACGCCACAAGAGAAAGTGAGAGGCGGCGAGGCTCTGATACCATGTAAAGAACCTTGGGATACACCACCCCAAAAGCTAGCTCAAAGGGTGGGAGTGCTCAAGACCTTATAAACTCCACATTAGTTCCACATACAACCAATGTAAGACTATATATCTCAACAAACACCATCATGCAATCCTCATTCCCATCAAGTCCGGCAATGCTAAAGCCATCAGTACCGAATGAACAACCTAAGCAATAAGCTGTCAGTCATATCTATTATTAACAAAGTTAACTTTTATAGTTCACAAACCATTACAACTAATTTAACACATTATAATTTGCACATCACGAATTATTACATCATCAGTCTGAGCAACATACAATACATTATAATTTTAACATCCAATCAGTTTTCTTAATTAAAGGAAATATTTCTTTATTATTGCAATGGAAAGTTACAAGAAGACGACAGAGAGTTTACTGTTATTGTTGGCAAACTACTACAATAGAACAAATTAATCAAAGATAGATATTCTACTCCTGGAGAAAAGAAACCAAGCGCTTGATGAATCTATTGGCATTCTCAGATTCTGGATTTAACAAATGATAAACATGATCCTCATCTTTCTCTTCAAACAATTCCAATTTCCCTTGCCACCCACTCTTCTTCACAAGTTCATAATACCAAACTCCTCGGTCCCTGAACTTATCCTTACCAGCAACACACACAATAATTCTAGAACACCCAAGTCCAGCCAAGTTAGGTGCCCCTGGACCCACAGGATTTACCGTGGGGTCATCAATCCCACCTGGTGCAGATGGATACACCAAGTTCCAAATCGCAATATCCATGTTCTGTTCAGGCTCTATAACAGGTTCTGACCCAATTGGGTATGAACTGTAGAAGAAGGGGTGAGATAAAATAGCTCCTAATAGTTTAACATCACCAGGTAAAGCCTCAGTCCCAGCACGCATGGCAATGTTATGCGTTATATTACCACCAGCACTATCACCCCCTATGAAAACTCTGTTGAAATCACCATGTTCAATCAACCATGGCTCTGTGTTGGTGGGGGTTTTGGTAGAATGGGATGCGACCCATTGTAGTGCAGCCCAGCAATCATCGTAACATGCAGGGAGAGGGTGCTCTGGAGCAAGCCTATACTCAACAGAAACGACTATAACGTTTGCTTTGGGGACAAAGGTTTTGAAATGAGTATGATATATCTGGGAGAAAGCAGATTCCATGAGGAAAGCACCACCGTGAAAGTAGACCAAGATTGGAACTTTATCAACTTGGTGATGTTCTTTGGAATTGGTCAACTTTGGAAGATAGAGACGAGCGGAAATTGTGGGGTTGGGTGAGATGACAATGTCTTTGGATGAGAGTCCAGTGTGAGGGTCATCAAGCATTGGTGGCATGAATGGTGATTGTAATGGCCGTTCTAAGGTGCCATCACTGAAGAACCTGATAAAAGTACCGAAATCATGAACTATCTCTTTGGCAATGGTTTTGGTAGTGGGTGTTGTAGAAGCCATTTCAATTCAAGGCACAGAAAGAATATGTTTTTGATAACGGTGGTGTTAGACTGGTAGGGGTGCAATGCCTTTATATTGGGGATGATCTGAGTTTCTTTTTCTATTTTCTTTTTTAGACTTTATAATATTAATAACTGTCTCTAGAAATATGATATCAGCAGTGACGTAGGTGAGATGGAATTGGTGATGAACTATTGAATGGAGAACAGTCCCTTTTAATTATTAGTTTTTTTTTTTTTTTTTGTTAACAAGGAAATGAGTGATATGAAATCCTACACTGAATCGTTTTTGATAAATGTTAAATAATTTTAATTATTTTTTATCATTTAAAGAAAATTTGATTTTACACTTTTCGATAATTTAAGAATCAATTTAAAAGCATAATTCATTGAAAGGCAAAATGTTAAATTCTCTTAAAAGATATACTAAATAATCCAATTTTTTACGGACATAGTAGCAAGGCAAGTTCTGTGAATACTAAAAAATTCTATTAAATTATGTACTAAAAAAGTTCTATTAAATTAAAAACAAGATTAAAAAAATTGAAAAAGTGTTAGTCATTTTAAATGATATAAATTTGTATCTTTTTTAATGAAACTACGTTGTTTTGGTATATTTTTGCATTCTCTCTCCTCTACTTTTCTTTCTTTCTAATTTATAAAAAATATAAAATGTAAAAAAAATATAAAAAAACATATCAAAATGATGTAATTTCATAGAAAATGACATAAAATTATGTCATTTAAAATAAGAGGAATGTTATACTTATAACATTTTTTTTTACAATCTCTTACAACCATATCTTAATATCGTTAATTTCTGCCAATCAACGTTTATGATTTTCGCAAATTAAACTCATTAATTAATTATTAATTCACAATAAATGATAACCGTTGATTTAATCTATTTTAGTTGTTTGCCAACAGAGAACCGTTCGTGAATATTTGGTTTTATTGTAAGTTTTCATTGAAGTATAAGAAATTTTCTTTTAATAAAACTGATTGGATGTTGAAATTAGAGTCTATGTTGCACTTGTTTTTTGTTTTTTTTTAAATGCTTTTTATATATATATATATATATATATATATATATATATATATATATATATATATATATATATATATATCACATTATAATAGCGTGAAACTTATTATCAATCTACGGCAAGATGTGTCGCTAGGGACAACAAGACTAGAGTTTCATGGGGCACCACCACTACCATGTTCGTGAAACTTATTATCAATCTACGGCAAGAGGTGTCGCTAGGGACATCAAGACTAGAGTTTCATGTGACACCACCACTATCATGTTCGTTTCAAACGGATGACTATCTTGATAATTCCAACATTTAAGGAATTATGGACTACGACTGATATTACTTGCCTATCAAATGTTTAAATTTTTGCTTCCAAAAAAAAAATGTTTAAATTTTTTGAGCAAATATGAAAAGAAAAGAAAAAAAGTAATAATGAAATTGTGATTAATGATAATAAAATATACATTTTTAAATTTTAAGGAATGTCAAAAGATTGCATTACACAAATGAAAATTATTTATAATGTCAATTGTTATCTTATTCGATGCATTTAATACTAATTTCTAAAATAAAAATAATCATGTTATTTGAGATTTTAACTATTATATATTAAGAAAAAAATATTTGTCCATTTAAAGGATTGTTCATTTAGTTAAAACTTTAAAGTAGTGTTTTTTATTTAAAATTTAAATTTAAAAAAAATCTCTCATTCTTGCCGCCCCTGATTTTTATTGTCTATCTCTTTCTCTCACTTAAAATGACATAATTTTATATCCTTTAAAAGGACAAATACTAATCCTCTCTCTTAGATCAAAACTCTAATAATTTATTTAAAAATAAATTAATCCTAACCCAACCTTACTTATGAACTACTACTGTTTTCTTATTCGAGTCCAGTTTCACGGAGCATTGTTATCTTAATTGACTGATCATGGCACATTAAGAAAGCATTTTAATAATGGGTTTTATAACAATAATGTTCTAGAAAAGTTGTTTTTCTTCCGGTTAATAGATCGATTTCCGTGCAGTGATTTTCTTATTCCTGCAATATTATAGTTGCATTCCCCTTTAATAATTTACTAAAAAATAGCATTTTAATATTTTTAGAAGAACATGAAAGAGTTGCATCTAAACAACATCCCTAGATTTGTTTGGTTTATTTGTATTTTTTTATACATTATTCGTAGTTTTTTAACTGAAAAAAGTATTTCTCCAATTACTAGAGATAAAGTTATCTCCGGTAAGTCAAAAATGACGTCGTTTTGGATTGTAAGATTAAAAAATTATAATAATAAAGACTAATATAACTCTCTAATAAATTATAATTACAAAAATATCTTAATTTTTGTTCCAAAACGACATTATTTTGGATTCACCGGAGAAATTTATCCCCATTGACTTGAGAAATCATTTATCTTTTTTAATTAGTACATTTTTATTAATAAACATAAATTTTGAAAAGGTTATTTTTATTATTTCTTAATAACAAAAAAAATAACTTGTCTATAATTATCAGTAAAAATATATGAATAGTTATTTTGATTATAATTATCAGAAAAAATTTATCATTAAGAAAGCACTATATATATCACCCCTCTAAAAATTCTGTTGAGATCACCATGCTCAATCAACCGTGGTCATCAAACATGGGTGGCACAAACGTACCAATTTCAGTAGTTATTTCTTTGATAATAGCGGATGCTGAAGAGGCCATTTCAATTCAAGGCACAGAAAGATTATATTACAAAGCAGAAGAGGAAGCCTTCCTCTGAGAAAATAGAGCACAATACTTTTAGAAGTTTTGTGCGGTTGGGAAATTTGATTTTGGCTTCCTCAAGAAACAAGAGGTGCATTATGACATCTGCGAAATTGATTTGCGTATCAAAGGAGCCTACATTACTTCTTCAAAATGAAATAATATATCAATCTAAAAAATTGCTAGCATTTCTCTTTAAAGAAAATAGAAAAAAATAGTTCATTTACTTAAACGTATCTTGCAGGTAACCATCTCCTCCTGTTCAAACGAAATCACACTTTCACGGCATTGAAATTACCATCCCACTTCAATGGCAGGTAATCTCGTCATATCAATTCATCAAATTATCAATTTGGACCAAATGATTCAACCCAACTCCTATTTTTTTTGAAAGAAATATCCGCTCTTACTTTTATGGGAATATCATTTATGCTTTAAAAGCAGATAAATGGTATCTGCCACAAAGAAAGAGAAAGGCAATAGATCCAATTATATTTTTCTCTCTTATTCCACACTGCTTTCTCTCTATGGAGTAGATATTATTTATCTACTTTTAATGCAAAAATGATATTCTCTACTTTCTCTCTACGGGCTTAGCATAGGTTATTGATTTGGATAAACTATAATAGACCCGCAAAGAGTTAAAGCCCAGAATAGGCCCAGAATTATATGGGCCCAATAAAATGCACAATGTCTTCATCGCGCATAAAGACTCGAAGACACAATAGCCTCATTGTGCCTAACTGCCTAAACATGACTTAAGAACTAAGGAAGAATCCTATAACAAACTAAGACCCACCGCGCTATCAACCAACACACGAAAGACAGCTCCAGCTTGCCACTGCTCTAAGAAGGTAGCCCATCATATAGGAGTATAGCCAGAAAGGCATCAGCTGAGACAGATAAGTCTGCAGCCCATGAACAGCCAATCAAAAGGCATACCGTCTACCAAAGGCGGCATAAGACTTGCTATATAAGCAAGGGATACATATCCAGGTACATCTATCTAATTCTAATAAGAATATAACATCAGCCTAGCATATATACTGACTTAAGCATCAAAGTGTCATTGCATGTACCCCCAGCCAGAACCATCGCACCAAAGGAACTCAACATCCATTAACCACAAAGTAGACATCTTCAGCCCACGAGGCACTTCACCAGACCTAAAGTCTCCATTCTTCAACCGTGTGTGATTTGGCCCAGTCCATATTGGCCCGTCCATATTGTTATGTTATATTTATTATTTTTTTAGACTTAGTACTCTTATTATCTAATTGGTTACTGTTGGATCAATTTAAAATCAATGGTTGAAAAATAAAAATAAAATTAATTGTCTTTGATTTCAAATTGATCCAACGACAATCAATCAGGTAGTAAGAGTGGTAAGCTTAAAATGATAATAAATATAACATTTCTCAAATAAATATGGAAGAAATTATACTTACTACCAAATCTTAACCGTTGATTTCTGTCAATCTAATGGTTATAATTATTGGAAATTAATAATTAATTAATAAGTATGATCCAATAAATTACAACCATTAGATTGACGAAAATCAACGATTAAGATTTAATAATAAAAGATAGTAAAAAAAAGAGGTAATAACCATAACTTCTCTCGACAAATATATATAAAATGAATATGGTACTAAATTTCTCACAAGCATTAAGTAAATGCCTTTATAATTTTGTCTTCCTCTTAAATAATCGAGACAATCGTTAAGCAAATTTTTTTCGGGATGATTTAGCATTTTTTTTTTAACAAAAGGCAGATATGTTACATTGACTTACGAGTCTACTATTAAATAAAAAAATATATTAAAAAGGCAAGTTACGTGACTATAAAAATATTGATTACACATGTATTTTTAGTTTTTTTTTCCACATAAATCCTCTAAATTCACCTAATGATAAAAGAATATGACTACAAATATATTTATGTTACTATGAACTTGGGTTTATGATGAACTTTATACATGCATAGCAACATTTCTAACTTTAAATCTTTTTAAGGATAAATTTCGAATACTGCATGCAGTTTATTTTAAAATAGTTTATTCCTTATTTTGTTATCAATTATTTTGTATGTGATTTTTCTCGTATAAATCAACCTAAACATAGTTTAAAATTACATAAACTTTCTATTTTATCCTATGAGACTTTATCAGTGTTTCTCAGATTTTGTCACCAGAAATTCGACCACAGAATATGCCACAAAATA